ACTACCCAGTGTTCAATCAATTGTAAATACATGTCAGTCCTTTATGGGGTCAATTTTGGCCCAAATAACTCATTGGTAGCATGTCAGACTGCAAAATTTTGTAAAGTGGTTTAGATTTTTATAGATCAGTTTCTTCGAAATGGGTACATATACCTTACTGACAAGTTATAAATAGTTCGGAAAAAAGATCCAAAGTTTCCGACTTAATCTCACTTTTATATTTCAATCAAGAAAATTAATTCATTCACACCATACAACAACTTCATGACTATTGTCTTAACGCTTCAAGTGACAAGTGATTGATCAGAATGTGAGTCGGAATATATTTTTTTCAGCTAACTATTCCCTATTAAGAGTCAATGTTTCTCTTGGACACCTCCATTTTACATTCATAAAATCAACATCTCAATAGTTTAACTATTTGAGTGTACAACAGACACGGATGTAACATATACTGATATATACTTGCTATGTTTTCTGTATAACTATTCATTTATTACATTTAATAATAGTAATGATAACAGTAATTATTATCAGTATGGGGTTTTGGAGATTATTAAGTTTTTGATTGAGATCATGAATCGATTGATGTTAGACCACCATTGGGAATCTGGATTCCTCAACAGTGCACATCCACGATCCCGCTAGCGGGATTCGAACACAAACTTAAGTGTCGCGCGTGTACGCTTAACCTACAGACCACTGAGCTGGCCAGCATCCACTGGTACGAATATCTAACCTCAACCAATCCACAATATTGCGCAACCATCATCCATTGTACTAAGATATATACCTGTCTCTATATGACATGGATTAGCTCCACTGTTCACGACTTCTTGCCAGAACAGAACTCCCAGAGTTTCCTCACGAATCTAGTCACTAATGAGCACATAGTAAGTATTATCTTCATGCGATTAAAAAAAACATTAGTTGTTCATTTCTATTCATCATTAGTGTAAACATAACTTTTAGTACAAAGGTTAAATAGTATCAATAAAGACCGAGAGAGAGAGGGTGAGAGAGATTGTTTTGGTGAACTTTGTTCATTTACACTCCATAATATACAAAAACATCTATGAGATTTAATATGAAACATTAAATATTTAGATGAATCTATTCGTAGTGTCACTACCATTACTACTACTACTACAACTACAACTACCAAAGTCATAGTCCAAATGGCTAAGTTGTACATGTGTATGTATATGTGTACACAACACCATCATGTAAACAATATAATCATCAAATATTGAAATTATATTATCACAACCAAATGTTATCATCATTACTATTTAGATATAAGAAGAAGAAGAAAGAAAGAAAAAAACACAACAGTAAATTATCTACTACTTAATTGACTTTGTACTCAAATAGTTTCATTGGACTGATTCATTCTTAACTTGAAATTCTATTATTAATACATGATGATGATGATGGTGATTAGTTATATAAATACTGATTTACAAAAAAATATGTTACCTTTTATTATGTTTCTTTGTAAACATGTTCTGAATCATACATGCAATCTATGTGTACATGTATATGTACACAGTGTTAGATACAGTAGATTATTTGTATTGACATACATTTAGCATAGTAACTAAGACACTATTTTCATTTTGTATCAAATTGTTAGACAAAACTCAGGATTTAGTAGTTAAGTAGATAACACTATGGCGTTTGAAATGAACGGTACTGAGTTCGAGTTGTGACTGGAATGAAAATCAACTCTGCGATGCAAGTACATCTAACTGAAGAGTCCCAAATAGAACGAAATGAGCAGCCTGGATTCCACTCCTAACCATTATCCATCTTTGCGTAGAATGCTTGTAAATTAAGGAGATATCGGGGTAATCTGCATAAGAGACTGAACAATTGCAGTCCTAAACATCAACATCGGAACATTCAAATAAACATGAATTTAAACTTGATCACACTGCACAAGCCAATGGCCATAAGGACTCAGTAGTTGAGTGGATAACGTGATAGTGTTTGAAGCGAACGGTATTGGGTCCGAGTCCTGCAGTGAATATCACCTGTGGGATGCAGGCACATCCAGCTGACGAATCCCGAATAGGACGAAACGCGTGTCAAACTGGATTCCACTACTAGCCACTATCTATTTGCTTATAATGCTTTTGACTTGAAGCAATCCGCACAGTATGCACATATACCAAAAAAAAGACTGATCAATTACAGGCCTAAACAACAAGGAGAAGATACAAAGTATACAACACCAAGTGAATATATACTCTTTTTTTTCTCTTTTTGAAGATAACAATCACAATAATAGTAATAATAAAATTCTGTCAAACATGGTAATAGGTGAGGTAGAATAAAAAAGGCATGAAAACGTTATTTTCTTCATCAGGGAAATTAATAATAGTTTATTATAAAGGGCTTGAATATCAATCATAAAGATAGATGGGAAAATTATAATTGGGAAAGGATAGCTCAGCATGATACAATAAAAGGTTGAATTCGGTATGAAATATAATCAGGAGGATCATAGAAACAGAAATAAACCAGTTGGGGGTAAATGATCTATAGAGAAAATAGAAAAAGAAGAAGCAGACATCTGTTAAGGAAGAAAAGTAGGATGAAATTAAATGATGAGACATATAATTCTGGTTTTCTCAGATGTGTTACTATTGCTTCGACAATATTAAGATGATGCAATCTAACTGTCATTGACAGCCTTCTACTTACTTTGTAGATGATTTTAAACAAATAATCCACCTTGATTAAGTGATCTATGTTCACAAGGTGTTCAATTATTGAACCGTTTCCGCCTCTTCATAGCCAAGCCGAGTAATGTTCTTGAATTCTTTTGAATAATGTACGCATCGAACAACTTATATACCTAGCCTCACATGAACAGGCAAATTGATAAACGCATATAGAACCGGACAAATGAGATCATTTCTCCCTAAGATTGTTGATGAACATTGATCGGTTAGAGAACGCTATTCGCCAAGTTAATGCGAAGAACGTTTTTCTGAGAGAAATTCTCCTCTTTAAGAAGTCTGTAAATATTTCACCTTCGAAATCGATATTCATATAAAGTGTTTTCAACTGAGGTTATTTATCTTTAAAGAGGTTTGACTTTTATATTCTTGTCAATAAATATCGAACGATACTCGTTTTCCATAAGTATTTTCTAAGAAAGTTCAGCTCGTTATCCATCATCTTGGGACGTAGAAAGTGATATGAGTAAGTTTCTTTTTCAATAAATAGGGACCCAAACTAACCTCACTCACTTCCTAGGTTTGTTCAGAAACTTAGAAATGAAATATTCAAAGCAGTAATGCTGATAGGTAACAATTTTCAACATGAATTAAATGATCAAATGAAAACACTGAATTTTTATTCTCAGAAGGGGGTTTTGTCGGAATTTTAGTAATTTCATAGTTGAATTTATGAGTCAATTGAAGCTAGACTACTATGGAAAACCTAGAAATACTGGATGGCCATTTCATTCTAGTATGAGACTCTTCAACAGTTCGTATCCACGATCCCGCTTGCAGGGTCCATGATAGTCTAGCTTTAATCGACTCATAAATCCAAATATTAAACTACTACAATCTCCACAAAAAAACCCTTTTTGATAATAATTATTATATGCTCACTAGTGACTGGCTTCAAGAGGTATTTCCTAGAGTTTTGGTGAGAAGTAGTGACCAGTGGGAGTTCAACTGAGTCTGTTGTGAGATAGTAACTCACTGAAGACAATGGAGGATAGTGGCTCAATTTCGTAGATTAGTTGAAGTTAGACATTAACACCGTTAGTCAGTGGTCTAAAAGTTAAACGTTCGCGCGTGAAACTGATATGTCCTAGGTTCGAAATTCTCAGGATGAGATCGTGAGTGTGCACTATTGAGGAGTCCCATACTAGAATGAACCAGTCATCCAGTACTTCCAAGTTTCCCATGATGGTCTACCTTCAATCGACTCATCAATTCAATTATAAAATCTTTATTTTGATTATATTTGTCTTTATCAGAATGGGTTTTGTGGAGAGTTTTAGAAATTTCACAGGTTGAAATCATGAGCCAGTTGAAGCTAGACCACCATTGAAAACCTGGAAGCACTGGACGGCCGTTTCGTCCTGGTATGGGACTCCTCAGCAGTGCGCACCCACGATCCTGCACCACGCGGGGCTCGAACCCAGGACCTACTGGCTTCGCGCGCGAGCACTTAACCACTAGACCACTGAGCCGGAATCCAACGGTGTTAATGTCTAACTTCAACCAATCCACGAAGTTGCGCCACCGTACACCTGTGAAATTTCTAAAACTCTCCACAAAACCCATTCTGATAATAATCAATTGCTCACTAGTGACTGACTCAGGAAAAACTCCTGGAGTTCTAGTGAGAAGCCGTTACCAGTGGAGTTCAACCAGGTCTGTTGTGAGATAACAACTCACTGAAGACAATGGTGGACGGTGGCGCAACTTCGTGGATTGGTTGAAGTTAGACATTAACACCGTTGGAAGCCGGTTCAGTGGTCTAGTTGGTTAAGCGCCTGGCGCGAGACTGACAGGTCCTGGGCTCGAGCCCCGCGTGGTGCAGGATCGTGGATGCGCACTGCTGAGTCCCGTACCAGGACGAAACGGCCGTCCAGTGCTTCCAGGTTTCCAATGGTGGTCTAGCTTCAATTGGCTCATGATTTCAACCTGTGAAATTTGTCTTTATGTTTGTGAATGAGTTTTTCTAAATATGTTTACATGATACCTAAATTTTGGACCAAAAATCTAACTTCAATTGTCTGGTATAAACATTTTTAACCAATAACATTGTAAGTTGGTCAGGTGACATATTTTATCGATCCAAAACTGACTATTCCTATAATTGATCGTTGATTGGTTAATATAAATTTAATCTCAGTAAATTTCAACCAATTAAAATTTGAACCAATAGAATTAAACTAATAAGATAACCAATCAAAATGAAAAGAAACATACATTTAATCATTGTCATCCATTGATTAAGGTCATAACATGTGTGATTATTATTATATCAGGTTCGACTGTATTTGGATTTAATTATGGATTCTATATATTCTTCAGCAAAAGCAATTATAAGTCGAGCTCAACCAGTTTAGATGGTGGAATTATAACATTTACACTGAATAATTTAATAAAATTACCTTCATCTAATAATTATAATAATGAAAGTTCATCACATACAAAAGTTACAATTATTGATCATATTTTATCAACATATTCACGTACTGGTTATGCATTAGCTATTGTATGTGCATTATTATGGATAATCTTTTTAATTATTGCTACATATTTAACATGTCGTCAACGTAAACGTATAAAAAAACGTTCCGAAACATTATTATATCTTGCTCCTACAGAGAATCATACATTGAATACATCTAGAGAAACTATAGAAATTGCATTACATAAAAAACATTCACCAAAATCAACATTTTATCGTACACGTGAACGTTTACAATCTAATTGGATATGTCTTGCTATACAATTTTCATTATTAACAATTTTAACAATTTTATTAGGTACAGCAGTATTACTTGGTTTTGCTGCATGTGGTCAATTACATACCAATTTAGTATCAGCACCAACACATGAAGAATCATTAGGACGTTTATTAACTATTAATGAATTAATGCAAAACTAATCCAGAAAAAACTCATGTATTCCCACGTGTATTACGTGCTTTAGCACAAATAAGAGCATATCTAAGTGAATTTGTTCCACAGACTAAAATTGATATTGAACCTGTTGTAAAAAATCTTATTCAAGCAACTGAATCCATGCAAGATCGTATGACAAATGAATTTAATTCAATACTATTCGATCAAATTGGTGTTACTGAAGCATTTCAACTTGGAGATATTCTTGGTGAACATGTTGTTACATTAATCACAAAATGTAATGCTATTGTACAATCAAATACTGCATTTAAACATACATTTGATCGATTTAAAGTGGAATTTCAAACATGGTTACGTTTAATTAATATAGATAATACAAATTATGATTGTATTGGTCAATGTCATGAATTACGTTCAACATTTATAATAATATCTCTATAAGACCTGATTCATTTATGCCTGATATACATTTTGCAATTGCATTAAAATTTGTTACTACAGATCGTAATCAAACTGCTGAAAGTATACAAGCCCAATTAAATCATGGTAAACAATTATCTAATAATCAACTTGAAAAAACTAAAACTATTATGGCTAAACAAATTAATATTCCACAATCCATACGTAATATGACAAATAAACAATGGGATCAATTAATACCACAATTACATAAAGCTATAGAAGAGATTGATAAAATCTCGATCTTAATTACTAGATCTATTTCACCAAAAGTTTCATCTATTTCTAGTCTTCTATTAACATTCAATTTATTCTTTTGGTTCTGTATTTTATTGATCACGATTGGTTTAATATGGTTAATTATACGTTATCATTTTATACCCACAGAGATTAGTTTACCTACACGTAATCGTATACGTTTAGGTGCTAGTATTGGATTTTGTATTCTAATCATTAGTATTATATTAGCTTGTTTATTTTATTTAATTGGTGGTTATTTCTATACAGAAGGTTGTCGTTATATAAATCCTGAACAAAATATAATCAATATAACAGAATATGATCCAATGAATCAGAATTATATTCAATATACAATGTTTCCTATTGATGCTCATATTAATACATTTATTAATCGTAATTGGCCAATTATTCTATCAATAGCTAAACAATTTACTCATATGCCTATTCCACATATACGTAGTCCAATTTATGGTCTATTACATAATTGTTATAAAAATCAAGGTATATTAGAAGCATTTGATAGTATTAGAGATTATAATATGAAATCATTAAATGATCCACAAATGTCTAATCGATTTATTAATCTTGGTAAAAATATAATGATTGATTCATTAAAATCAATTAATGTCAATGAAATGTTCCCTAAAGAAACTGATGAAATTTAGCTATGGCATCACGTTTAGATGATTTTATTGTAGATTATAATGAAGTACGTTCTAAATTACCTAAAACTTATTTAAGTATACAATCATCAATAGATGAATCAAATAATTATACATTATGGCCAATAAAAAATATGTGGAATTTATGGGATAATTATTATACTACTATATTAAGTCATCGTTTATCTATAGAACAATTAAATCGTTTAAATATTACTACAGAAAAAATTCGACAAACTATTAATCAATTAGATCAAATCATTTATAATATAGATCAAAATTTATTGATTTTATCAAAATTAAAAAAATTGCATCACATGTTGCTAAGTTACAAGAAACATTAATTAATTTAAAAAATATAATGAATAATAAAACAATTTTAATTAATCAAGCTATTGAATTATTTTATCAAAATATACAATTAAAAACACCAATAGAAGCAGAAAAATTAATTATTGAATATGGACCAAAAATTATGTCAAAAGTTGGACAATGTTATCGTTTGCATAGAGCTATGAATGATATAAATAATGCTGTATGTCATGGAATTGTAAATATATTCAATGGTTTTTGGTTTCTTTTAAGTTGGGTTACATTAATTGGTACATTAATTATTATATTTAGTTTATTATTATTAATGCATAAATCACCAATTGATAATCATCAATCATCATCATCATCAGGGAAATTTTATCATAGAAATATAAAACGTAAAAATTTAAAATCAAATTTATCTACTATGGTAACTGAAAATTCTATAAATCCTAATGAATTAGAAGCATTGAATAATCGATAAAATAAGAATACAATACCCCTTCCTCCTCCCCCTTCCCCCTTCTTAACTTTTGTATAACAATAATAATAAAAATGTGCATACAAATTCATATATATATAGTATTGATACTATTTTTAATTAATCCAAATTTCTATTGTCTATGTATAATAATAATAATAACAATATTACCCCCCTTGAGTGTAAGTGCGTACGTGTGTGTGCGTCCATCCATTATTCTACAAATATAAATTTTGAACAATCCTTGCATGATTATTACTATGATTATTATCGATTTAAAGGCTTGTTGTTTTAGGACTTTTTGTTCTCTTTAAAGGAACTACCACAGAACCAATTGCATTCAAAATAGTTTTTGTCATATTAATCTTGTCCACTTCCTTTTTTTTTACAGACTTTTTTTTTGTTTTTAATCCAAATAATTTTCATTACTTTTTTTCTGTGTATATGTTAGTTAAAATAACAAAAAAAAATGAAAAGAATTTCGGTATTGTTTTGTTGTTGTTGTTGTTGTTCATTCATTCATTTATTCATTGTTCGTCGTATTTTAGTCTGATTTAGTGCCCCCTTCCAGATACCCTGGTACGGTTAGTCAGTCAGCTACAACGTAGGACCAGGCACATATATACATCGGTCCAAGTTGCCATACCTCATTAATACAACAAGATGGACACCGAATTCATAGAAGTAGTTAATTCAGAGGTGGTAATATATAAAAGAAAGATTGCAATAAGGATATAGTACAGGAAGAAAGAATTAGTTCGTAGAATGAAAGATATGAAACGGTTTTAATCTCGTAATTTAAGGGAAGACAAAGAATGGATAAACCCACGCCATTGTGATCGATTCTAAGTTGTGTCACCCAGAGTCTCCAGCCATTGGTTATGATGGTCACGCAGACCCCCAACCAAGTAGTCTGCATCTACTAACATGACTCATACTAGAATTTAGTGACTTCAAGCACTGATGCCACGTTTTCGTTTGGCCGCCCCTAACTTTCTTCCAACCAGCTCCAACACCGGTTAGCATTGCACGTCGTGGTAATCGGTGTTCAGGCATACGCAACACGTGGCCCAACCATCTCAGTCGATGAAGATTCTCAAACTGATCAACTGATTTACCATCGTTCCCTAATACCCTGCGTCTAACCTCACTATTACTTACCCGATGATCCCAGCAGATGCCAGCAATATTTCTGAGGCATCTGTGGTCAAATACTAGTAGCTTACGACTGTCTTCTACTCTTAGGGGCCATGTTTCGCCGCCGTAAATTAAAACAGAGTGGACTGCCGCGCAGTATACTCGTCCTTTTATTGATAGATGGATATCTCGCCTTCGCCACAGGTGACGTAAGTTGGCAAAAGCCAAACGATCTTTTCGAATCCGTGCTGAGATTTCGTCAGACACCAACCCATTAGTGCTGATCAGACTTCCAAGATAAGTGAAGTTGTCAACGCGTTCGACTACTTCACTCCCTATCCTTAGTTCAGGTGTTGACGCAGACCAGTCTTGAAGCAACAACTTACATTTAGAGGGAGAGGAGGTACGGTTAGGTTTGGGGAGAGTTCTCCTTATCGAAATGTTTCACATGGCCATGTGTATACAGCCAGTCTTTTTTGTGGCATCGATGTTGTTTACGAAATTGAGAGGATGAAAGGAGGATGTCCGACGTTTTACTAGGGTTGATGGACACGGTAGATCCGCCTAGGTGAGTTGGTTTTAGTTTATGGAATTTCAGTGATTATTTTGTAGCCTCATTTTCTTTGTTACTATGTTGAGGTTTTGAGCGCAGTATATCAGGGAAGTAACAATCAGTTTAGTGTGTTCTACGAAATGAATTAAATTTGTTTTATCACTTACTAACTATTATGAACTTTAGTAAGTGGATGGTAAAATCTATAGTTAGTGATTAAAGGTTGATTACTTGAAGTAGTCGAAGTTACCTGTAATGTTTTGCTCAAGTTCAATGAATGTATCGTACATAGTATATTCGGCCATCAGTTCATCCTTTAATGAGTGAATTCTGGATATTCAGGTGTAATTTACATTACAGATTTCATTCAGTTCTGACTTTCATTAGACATTTTAGATGGTACTTCAATGAACCTATTCATATGCTATGTTTGAAGCGATTACGAGTTCACCTAGTCTGCGAACCGAACAAAGACTCTGTGACCAAAACCCCGCTAACTCGAAAGAGAAGTGCAAGTTCGAAATTATTTATTTATTTACTTATTTGAACATATAAATAGTGGTACAAGAGTGCGCCAAATTTATATTCACCACAAAACAATTAGAATTTAAAGAGAAGGAAAAAGAAAAAAGGTAAGGAGCGTAAAAAAAAAACGAAGAGATTGGTGTAATAATGGGGGAACGGAAAGGTACAATCAGAAGAAATCTTTCACTTAAAGAAGATACAACAACTTTTTACGAAGAAAGTAAAAGAACGTTACAGCAGGATCGCCACTGGCTTCTATTCTGAGCCATATCTGATAACGTCTCTAGCCACTGTGTTGCACCATCTCTCGGACCCCAACCAGGGAGTCGTAAAGGACCAACACAAGCCAGTCCTTTGCAGCTTTCTTTCATGCCACGACACCATGTCATGCACTGACCACCTCTCCGCTTTCTCCAACCAGTCCCAGAGTCGGCAAATAATGCACGACGTGGAATTCTCTGGGACGACATTCGTAGAACATGTCCAAGCCACCAAAGTCAGTGTTTCAAGATTCGAAAACAGTGAAATATATTCTGCAAGCAGTCAGAAGCACAAACAATCTCGACCCCGGTCTAGTCGGAAATACACTCATATATTGGTTTGTACACCCCCTTTTTTGATTAATAATCAGAATAAATCACATATATGAAAAATACTTGATACAAGAGTATCATCATATGTTATACAGAATAAAATGTGATAGGCGGGGGGGGGGAAACGAAACGGAATACTATACTGAGTGATCATCTCATTGAATTGAACAGAATTAATCTTGAACCAAAAATCATATTGAGTAAATCAATCTAATTTTGACTTTTCATTCCATCATAACATCATAGCAAATAGTTATGAGTAAAAACCTAACCGAAAATAAGCATGAAATGAAATGAACACATTAAGTCAGTCATTACTTGGTCTCATGATACCTAGCTAACTATTCTCAGTTACCCTAAGATTGCAGTTATATCTTGGTGATGATTATCAACTAACATAATACCTAAGACCATAGTTTCCTGCTGACTGCATTTTATCGCTCCACATATTTGAATGAATCTGTTCTTTTACAGTTCATACATTTAAGTTGATCCAATAAAGAAGCAGAACAAATAACGCAATTCAAGAAGTTCAAAATTTTCTTACAATTATGATCGTGCATGCGCAGTAGTGTGGAGTCCGATACTAGAACGAAACGATCGTTCAGTGCTTCCAGGTTTTCCATGATTGTCTAGTTTCAATTGACATATGAATTCAACTATTAAAAATTATGAATACAATTTAGAAATTCCCACAGATTATTCAAGAACAAAGGGTATTTGGATTGAACAATCATTTTTGATATTTTCTTCATCAAGTTGTATAGTTATGAACTTAAAATTATCATCATATTTATTAGAAGCGGTTTTGTGGATATTATAATAATCCACGATCCTGCCTTGTGAGATTCGAACCGGGGACCTATTGGTCTCGTATGAGAGCGCTTAACCTTTAGACCACTGAGACGGTATCTCTAACTTCAACTAATCCACGAAATTGGGCGACACATCCACTATTGTCTTCAGTGAGTTACTATCTCACAACATGAGCCATGTTACGCGCGAGACCGATAGGTCTTGGGTTCGAATCTCGTGAGGTGGGATTGTGGATGCGCACTGCTGAGGAGTCCCACAACAGGACGAAACGACTGTCTAGTGCTTCTGGGTTTTCCATAGTGGTCTAGCTTCAAATAACTCATGATCTCAACTATCAAAATCATATTTATGTTGAATTCATCCATAATACTATATAAAAATGACAAATTTCATGTCTATTGAGTATGAAGTACTACAAGTTATTGACAAAATGTAATAAAGTCATTGATAATGTGTTAGGAGAAGTTCATACCTAAAAGGGTAAGAAAAATTATGTACCTTAAGGTAATTAGTTCTAATCAATAAGTTCAACACGTATGCAAACATAATTTAAAACAAGATATGAATGAAGATATGAACAAGGTATGAATTGTTGTGTTGTAGCCCTGATAAGAATAATGACATTAAGAATAATTATTAGTAGGAATGACTGTATACTTAAGGATAAGGAGTGTCTTGGGTGTGGTAATCATAATGATGGTGGGGGGGGGAAGGGACAAAATTGAAACTAAGACTGAAACGACCCTAGTGTGAGTCATGCTACATATTTTTTTGTAGTTAGGTTTCTTTAAATTGTTGCTAATTACTTCAACTACATAAAATGCGGATAATCTTGAGCCTTTTGGTAGATTACGAGAAATTTGATATGCATGACTGAAAAGGCATCCTAAATTTTAATGTTTTATCCGTAATTAATTAAGTGGTAAAGAATAGGATTATTAATAAAAGATTTCTCAACGCTCTTCCTTAATTATACCAGTACGTGTTCAGCAGCGTGTAAGTGTAAGGACTTTTGAGTATGACCAATATAATTGATCCCACAGAAACAACTCAATTGATAAACGCACATAGATGAACCTATCATTGTTATTTTACGCTTAATGGTATCTTATCACATTTCTCTTCTCATGTGAAACTAGTCTATAATTGAACATTTTGAAGAATTTTTGTAGGTTGACCATTTTGTCTCGAATAATCATTATGTCGTCGAGCTATAATTTATGGGCGAACCAATCAGATCTAAGATAACAGGTCTTGGATTTTGGCATGAAATTCACTCATCCATTCGTTCAAATAGCATCTTGGCATTTTAGCTGATGTCAATTCATGATGAAAACCATAAATCTAAATCTTAACCCTTATCATCAATTGTAAATCAT